CAGACACTGTGTGTGTGTGTGTACGCGCGCACGCGCAGGTTTTCAAAGTATAATATGTTATTAACAGCATAGAAACAGAGATCTTAAAGATTGCTGGCAGGTGAGAGGAAGAGAGGGAGATAGGCTACATGTGCTATGAAAACGGAAGGTGGGAATGATTTGGAGGGAGGAAGGGACCAGTAAGAAGAGGTGGGCAGTGGGCTGGAGGAAGGGAGGGAAAGAGTTGAGAGAAGATGAAGAATAAAGAAGCATAATGACACATGTCTACAAAAACGCCAAAATGAAACCCATTACTTTGTACTTAATTTTTAAATTAAGATTAAATGAGATGTTGGAGATATGTTTCAGTGGTTAATGCCAATTATTGCTCTTGCAGAAGACCTGGGTTCCATTTCCAACATCCACATGGTAGCTCATTCATAACTCCAGACCCTAGGATACTGATGTCCTGCTCCGACCTTCACAGGAATCAGGGATGAAGCATGGTATTCATAGATACATACATACATATAGACAAAACACTCATATCCACAAAATAAAATAAATGAATCTTTAAACATTGCAAAGACTAAGTGAATGCTATCTGCAGAGAGAACGAGACAGAGGGCCTGGGACCCAGGGTGGCAGACACGTCCTTTGGCGTGGGTAAGAGCAAGCTGGAAGTTGAATGAATCAAATATCCACATGGTCTGAACAGCCAAACCAAAAGAAACAATCCTATTTAATGGTGGAAGAAAGGAATGTAAAATATATCCGTCATTGATGTGGCTTTCAAGCAGGAACCACACAAGGTGCATGCTGAGCACCAACTCAACCTGTCCTCCAATGCTGATGGAGTAGGAGCTTTGTTCTTAGATGTGAAGTTAGCTCACTGAAGGTCACACAGCTTTGAAATGGTGAGACTGGGGTTTGACTCAGGAAGTCAGTCATAGAACCTGAGCTTGGTCACTCCGTGGTGTGTGGTGTTTCTTTCCCTTTCAAAGCAATAGAAGAAATACCACCAATGGCAAAGGTAATCCAGGGAGTGGAACTGGTGGGGGTAGGGAAATCTGGAGTAGTTCCTCGTCTTTTTCTCCCATTCATTTTTTTAAAATTATGTTATCAATCTTTCCCTCCCTCTCCCCTCACAGACGTGCAGCAGAAGTGGGCATCAGGTCCCCTGGAACTGGGGTAACCAGTTTGTGAGCTGCCATGCAAGAACCGGGAACCAAATTCTCGTAACTCTCGCGTAACGCCCAGTCATCTCTCCAGTCATTCTCTCTTTTCAGACATGTTTTCTCTTTATAACCAGACTGATCTCAGACTCACTATGGAGCTCAATCTGGGGCTACCTGCTGCCTCAACCTCTAGAGTTCTGGGATCATAGGTACATGGTCTCCCCAATTTAGCAGCAGCCTCTGAGTGGGTAGAAAGTGGGGATTTGGATCAAGCTTCTGGGATGACTGCCTCCTCTCTCCTACTGATAGGACACATCCCTCCCCAAGACATGCAGCCTGGTGGATAGATTCAAGCCAAGAGACACATTGTTTCCTTTGAAGCCAAGCAAGCTGCCTTTCCCCCTCCATCCTTGGGGATTGCCAGTGCCTAGGGGGTGAAACTAGGGACATTAAAACCCTGTTGCAAACTGCTACACCCTCAGGACTGGAAAGACAACTTATGTGCAGTAAGTGTATCCGCCTGTGGGGATATCTGTTCATGAGTTGAGAGGTAAATCCCAAAGTCCATTGCATAAATGGTCAAGAGGCAGGAAGAGAAAGTCCCAGGAGAAAAATGTGTCAACACTTCAGTCTTCCAGTGGACCACCTAGACTCATCTCTCACCACTCCACTGCTTTTAAGGGAGTGAAGTGATTAGAAACAATATAAAGATTTTAAAAATAAGAGATCATTTAAATAAGTCCATGTGCCTCTTCTTGGTAGAACATTACATGCCTCCCCCCAATCATGCTTTCAGAGAATTCGATGATGAAAGGAAACAGTTGGCGTTACAAAGTCAGAGAACAAAAGTGAGGCACAGAGTATCTGTAGAAAATGATCCCAGGGGCTAGAGGGATGCTCAAAGGTTGAGAGCACTGACTGCTCTTCTAGAGGTCCCGAGTTCAGTTCCCAGCAACCACATGGTGCCTCACAACCATCTATAATGAGATCTGGTGCCCTCTTCTGGTGTGCAGGAATATACGGAGGCAGAATGCTGCATACATAATAAACAAATAAACCTTAAAGGAAAGACTTATTTATTAAAAAAAAAAGAAATGATTCCAAGTATGTGAAAAAACTTCTGCAGAGGAAAAATGCACAGAAGGGCGAGATGAAGGCAAGTGTCTGCTCTTCTGGTTGTTAGTCAACTGTTACTTTATTACAGAGAAGATGCCCATTTATTGCTTGAAGTTGCAACTAATTCCTAGTGGCATAAACCCATTTTAAGCAGTGCCATATTCATTCATTCATTCGAGAATAGTAAACATTTCTCTGCCACTCCACAGAGCATTTAGGATGATTTTGGTCCTAGTAATGAGCTTTGCACCACTTTCCAAGGTTAAATCAAGGCGGATAACCAGACGGCAGTCCCCAGAACCTAGTAAGAATTATTTACGTTAGGTATGATTCATTGTTTCTTTGTTTCTTTCCATAAATGTTTCCTAATGTCCTTTATGGTGCCAGGTGCTGGGCCAGATACCGAGTATAGTGACCAACCAAGGTTGGGGTTTGATCTCTCAGAAGCTCCATTTATCTGTTGGTTCCTCCCAGGCACAACTTTCAAAACTCCACAGTGCTCACTGGAATCTGTGAGAATCTTGGGTGCATATCCAGACACAGCTTGATGTGCTACCCAGGGACGTAAACCCATCCTCTGAGCCTATGACCTGTCCCCACATCAACCACGTAAATTCAGCTTGGCCTGCTGCCGTCGGCAGGCACTTTGCTCTCGGCACACACCTGATTGATTCTCTTCCCTTTTTGCTTTTTCCTAAATCCAGGAGATTGGTCTTGACCCGTTGTCGGGATGGGAATTTTTAACCAAGTGTCTGCAGTGATGAATCCTCCCAGGCTCTGCTGCGCTACTGACCAGAGCTGGAGGGGTCTGGTTCTCCGAGGACCCAGGGAAGGCAGGTCCTGAGTGTCACATGGCGGTTTTTATGTGCATTCCAGTAGCTTCTTGGCAAAGGCATGATGGTTGGAAGATGACTAAAGACAGCATTGACCCAGGGGCCTCTGGGGGATTGTTCTCAGTGACTCGGCTCGCTCCTGTGGCTCAGGCTATATATGTGAGCCAAAGGCCAGCTGCGATCCTCTGGAAAAGTGGCTTTCCCAATATTTGATCTCTCTGGTTTCTAGTAAGAAACTTTGTACCTCTTTCTAAGGCGAAAAACAAAACAAAACAAAAAAAATAAGCAAAGACCAAAAAAAAAAAAAACCCAAGGCAAACAGCTCAATGTGAGTGGAACAACTTGTGATCCCAGGACTCAAGAAGCTGAGGCAGGAGGATTAGAAGTTTGAGACCCGCCTTGGCTACAAAGGGAGGCCCTATATGAAGAAGAAAATAATCAAGGCTGGCAACAGGAGATTTGGAAGAGCAGGGGTCAGGTGGCTGCTGTGGGCTACGCACTGGCTGTAAGGGAACCATGGGATTCATGCCTACCTCAGCAAAAGCAGTGTGCGAATCCCTACCAGTGCTGCATGGCAGAATGATGCTTTCCTTCAGGTGACAAGGCTCACCAGTCACCCTGGAGCTGATGGAGGCCTATTCACAGGTCCTCTGTAGTCACACAAAATGTAGGCCACCTTATAGCTCGGAAGTACACTGAGTTAAGGTCTGAGGAAGATAACTCAGACTCAACCTGGTTGGACAGTATATGTCATATGTCCAGTCTCAAATGAATCAATATCTAGAGAGTTGTGATGTCCTAATTGGCTGGAACCCTATTGGTTTGGGGTTTTGCCCTTGCAACTCAAAAGCTGATGTATCTGTTGCTGACAACTCCAGAGCCAGACAGGCATGGCCCGTCTTTTGGTATGTGTGACACATTTTGTCATCTTCAAATCTCATAGTGTTCCTAGTAGTTTCATGACTCAGTGTTGGCTGCATTTATGGCTATCCCAGGACATGCCTGAGTGCTTCAGGGTTCATGAGGCCTGGAGTCAGCATCTGGGACATGCCTGAGTGTTGCATTTACAACGGTCCATGCCACAGCCTTGCACATAAGTAGACAGGGAGAGTGGTGATGGCATCCGTGTTGGTTACTTTAGCCTCCCTGTGGTTGCAAAAGAAAAATCTTGTTGAGAAACAACTCAAAGGAAACTTGGCATGGCACATGCTTTTCCTCCCACTCAGGAGGCAGAGGCAGGTGAACCTCTGTGAGTTCGAGGCCATTCTGGTCTACAGAGTGAGCTCTGGGTCAGCCAGGGTCACATGATGAGACCCTCTGTCAGTAAAAACAAAACTCCAGGGAGGCAAGGTTTATTTTGGCTCAGATTTCAGTCCATTGAGGTGGGGAAGGCCCAGTGGGGTTCATGGCTGTGGAAATGGGTGGCAGAGGCTCCTCACATGGCAATGGCTGTTCGTCAGAGGGCAGCCTAAACACAAGAACCAGACTGGTATAATCTTTAGAGCCCCCTGCTCTAGTGCTTATAGCTGCTAATCAATCCTCACCTCCCAAGAGCTACATAGTCTCCCCCAAAACACAGCTATGCAGGGACCAAGGGCTCAAAACAGAAGCCTGTTTTAGATTCAAACCTTAATAATACAGCTTTGAAATGACTTCCTTTTTAGAGAGGGTCTCCCTGTGTGAGCTGGGATGTCGCAGAACCCAATAGGTAGGCCAGGATGGCCTCCTATTTACAGATATCAGCCTGCTCTGCCTCCCCAGTGCTGGGACTGAAGGGGTATGTTACCACCCCAGATTCCTTTAACTAACATAGAGAAGGACATCATGGAAACACCCAGGTTGACCCTGCTTGGACCTAAAGCCTGACGTGATCACTCAAAGGCAGAATCACAAATGATTTCTTATTTGTTGTTTATTTAGGAGCATGGCTGTTTTACAAGACGCATTGTTTCTGAGGTGCCTCTAGCAAACATCTCTCTCAGTTCCGGAAACCAGAGCCAACCTGCAAAAGCCCAGACATCATTCTTGGGCCTGACATGAAGTTTAAAGCAAGGGACACCTGTAGGTTTCAAGGCTTGTGGATGCTCCTTCAGTGGGAAGGACGTGGTGGGCCACATTTGCTCTCTGCCCCTTGTCCCAGTTAAACACACCAGGAGCCACGCATGACAGGAGACCCAAGGCAAACTGAGGTCAATGAGAGGGGATTTTTCCGGCATGCAAGGTGACCGTTAGCTTTAGCCCTGGTTGGATTTGGGGCTCATACAGACTGGTTCCCCATTTCTGCCATTGTTGGGTTTGGCATCGTCCTCAGGCTTTTTTGGGGGGGGGACCTCCGCAAGTGTGGGTTCTCAGGTACCGGGACAGAATTTGAAGACTCTCTAGCAGTTCATTCACATTGCTAATCCACGAAAAGCAAAACAAAACACAAACCAACAAAAGCAAATAAAAGGAACCCAGACCGACTCTGATTGGTGCCTAGTCTTGGTCCAGACCGACTCTGATTGGCAGAACACCTGCCTAGTCTTGGTCCATCTATGTCTAGAGAGGTGAGATGCTCTGATCGGGTAGAAGCTGAAGCCAGATAACTTCGGGATGGGAAGGGATGTGTCGTGTCTGGAAGAAGGGGTTTGTTCTACTCGGGGTAGTTACATTACTGTGCTGACTTTTCCCTCTCGTTAAAGCTGGAAAAGAGGAGTAGCTTCTTCCTCCTCTCTTCTTCCTCTTCCTCCCTTCTTCCTTTCCCCTTCCTCCTCCTTCTTGTGTCCCCCTGCCCCTCCTTCTTCCAGAGCTCGAGGGACAGCAACATTTTTGGCCTTTGAAAGGCTTGCTTGAGCCAGGCAGTGGTGTCACCCACTAATCCTTTAATCCCAGCACTTGGGAGGCAGAAGCAGGGGAATCTCTGTGAGTTAGAGGCCAGCCTGGTCTACAGGGTGAGTTCCAGGACAGCCAGAACTATACAGAGAAACCTTGTCTTGAAACAAACAAACAAAAGCCTTAAAACTTGCTTGAAAAATACTGGAAGGAGTGAGGTTTTCTTTGGAACAACAAACAGGTCATGGTGGGAAAACCAAGCTCGACAAAGTCTTTTTACTAGAGAATCATCTTCCATCTCCAAAGGCTCCCGCTGAACCCCAAGCTCATGGGAGTCCTTGAAAGGTTTGTTCATCTTGTGGTCCCCACACCAGAGAAAAGCTGCACCTCAGTCTTGCAGGGCTGAAGTGAGGTGTGGGACCTCAGCAGCAGAGAGAGCTCTTCATCCGTGTGGAACCCAGGGGACTTTCCTCCAAGCAGAGCCATCTCAGATGGAAGAGGACACTGTTGGAATAGCTGAAATCAAGAAGCAGAGGCTGTACAAGTCAAGGCCCCCTGTGGGTATCTAGACCGACTTCCCATCTGACCCGACCGATCATGACGTATTTCTTCTGCCAGGAGTCTATGCCGTTTCTCCATGAAGGCGGCTGCCCTCTCCGGAAAGCCCCCATCTCTGAGTGATCAGAGGAGCATTGAGGGTGGATGGAGATCACCTGTTTGCGGATGAGAAAAAGCGAGATGGGGGGGTTTGTCCAAGGAGCCAAGGAGGATCCTGATTCACTGTCCCCTCAGCTCGCCCCTGACTCCCCCCACCACATTCCGTCTTCAGTGCTTTACTCTCTGGGTCACTAGCAACAAGTTTCTCGATGACTATACCATGGGAGACAGAGTTATAAGGACAGTTCAGGGAAAGAAAAACAATATACAAACAGAAGTGAAGGGAACTGCAACTTCAAAGGGTTTGCTGGTTCAGACGCCATGTGGGGCTGTTTCGAACAGACGTCAGAGCAAATGGATTACTTTAAAAGCAGGTGGACTATTGGTATAAGGCGTTTACATTCAGGACATCAAGAAGTAATCTCCTCCTGCTACTGGGAATGCACCCGGTGTTGCAGATTTTGAGGTCACAGAACACAAGGGGGGCTCCTATGTGAGGGAGTTGATGGGACCTGCTTTGATGGGGCGTATTTAGGGATTAATTTTTCACCACCATAAATACCAGGCCTCTGCTTATGGCCGCATTGCCCTCCATGCTAGCTTTTATCCCTTCTGCATAACGTAAGTGGCCAGGTCTCCCCTCTGCACCCCCTTCTTGGCAGAAACGGGGTGACATGTACTGCGGGGACGATAGGGGGCACCGGTGAGCCTGGGCCTGGACACTTCTGGTCCAAGCTGTGGGCTTGGGTTCTCAGGTGGGGGAAAGTCGCTGTCCAGCGGATCCAGACTCAACAGGCCTCTTAGAAACTTCAGCGGGAACACCAAGTGACCCCAGATGAAGTCCAACAGGCCTTCTAGAAAGCAGGGAAGGGTCCTTCCTTGATGTGAATGCGCTAAGGATCAGGGATCTCAGGAAGAGGTCAGAATGCAGCAAGGCCTAGATGCAAGGTTAAAGGGAGACAGACTGCCACCCTCATTCTGTCCCTGAGAAAAGTGCCTTTTCCCTGAATCTATATGACCACTTCCTTTTGACCTGTTCCCTGCTTTGTCCAAACTGTCAGTCATTTGATGTACAGTCTCAGGTTGAAAAGACCTCAGAATATAATCAGTGGATCCAGGAAGAACAACCAACTCTACTCCCACAGAGATAGTAGCATCATTGATGTGACTGTTTGATAATTGCTACAGGAGAAGAGAGAGAGAGACAGAGACAGAGACAGAGACAGAGAGAGAGAGAGAGAGAGAGAGAGAGAGAGAGAGAGAGAGAGAGAGAGAGAGAGAGAGAGAGAGATCCCAAACTTTGTCTTTTGTCCAAAGAGAATTTTAAGCACATCAGATTGGAGCATACAGACTTAATTCCTAAACTTTTTTTTTTGGGGGGGGAGGCTGGTAAGAGAATACAGACACATACATACTCACATATGCGCATGTGCTGTTGATATCCTTGCTCTTTAGGTCTTTAAGGATCTCAAAGGAATAACTTGTCATCTGTCCCGGGTTCTCCTAAAGGGGTGGGGTGGGGGTGTGGGGATGCGGGAGGGGAAGAGAGAGGGAGAGAAAAAAAATGCTGGCTCTCCCCAGGATCAGCTTTGAGGATATAGGGTACCTGCAGGAAGTGACCAGGCTGGTGCCCACTGCCCAGAGCCCACTGACAGCAGCAGCTTCCTGGGGCTGCTGCAATTTCCCCAACCAGGCTGGATACCAGTAGCTCCTCCCAAGTTTCTGATCCTTGCCCTTGCATCTGAGTGGATCCTTCCGCTGGAGAGAGTTTTCACCATCTCTTTGCTTTTGATGTATTGTGATGCTGGAGTTTAAAATCCACTAGTTATCTTCGGGGAAGGGGTGGGGGTGGGGGACTGAGTTCAGACCAGCTGGAACCTGTCCTACCTGAATCAGGGTTTAAGTATCTCAGTGGCTGGGCGTTTTGTATAATCAATCTTTCTCCATCCCTTCCTAACCATGCACAGCACAGGCCCAGCTCTCAGGCTCTCTCTCTCTCTCTCTCTCTCTCTCTCTCTCTCTCTCTCTCTCTCTCTCTCTCTCTCTCTCTCTCTCTCCTCATGCACTCATGCATCTCCTTTATTTGTCAACTCTGTAGGACCTTGTCTTCCTGCTATCAGCACACCCAAAGCTACACTACGACAGGCTTTCTTTAAAAGCAAGTTGCTCCTTGGCATGTCTGCATACTTCTTTTATTATTATTATTGAATCTTTTTTTTTACCCATAATGACACCATGATCATTATATAATCCCATAACAAAGAGGCTTTTGAGGCACCAGCTTTTGTCAACTCTAGGACAGAGAATCCGTAATTGCATTATTCGGTTTCCCCCATCTTTCCCCCCTTTCTTGCTTCACAGAAGCCCCACCTCTGCAACCCTGAAATCCCCACTTTGTTACCTCGGCTTATATTATTTACCCAAACGTTCGCCTGGAGGACCAGCCTTGCAAAGTTGCCTTTAAAAAAGTTATTTTGTTTCGTAATTAAGTCTCGGAGCCCACCGCGATGATTATTCTGGACCCATAAGGCAGAGAACCTGCATGACGTTTTTCTCGAAGTTTAATTACCGTATGCTAATTTCCTTGCCTACTACGTGATTAATTAAAATCATATTTTCATAATCATTTGGCACTAGTATTGTTTTAGAATTATCATGATCTCCTAAATAGTGTCTGTAAATAAAGTCGCCTCTAATGGCAGCGCGGGAGGCGAGCCTGAGGACCTCTCCGTGTTTGTATCGCGGCGATTGGCAACATAACGGCCTTATTTACATTAAATACGCCACAAGGTTACAGCGCGGATCAACGTCATTTGGATCGCTGATGACTCCCTTAAACGCCCGGGCTGTGACTGATTCTTCACGTCCCGCTGTCCACCGAGATTCACCCGCGAGTTTTTTTTTCACCCCAGAAAAGAAACAGACTTTAAATAGTTTGAGAAGCAGGTAAGAATTACGCGTTTTCCTCATCCCCTTTCCGCGTCTCTCTCTCTCCTGTCTCTCCGTGGCAATCGCTCTCTCCCTCTCGGCTGGATAAAAAATTCTTTAGTTAAAGGCAGGAATGCAAAGTAGTGACAAGCGAAGGGGCTGATGTATGTCTCCGTAACGAGTCTGACAATCAGAATGTAGCTCTTGGAGAATAGATAGATTTTAATAAGTGTGTTTACATGAGCTCAAGGTCGAAGCAAGCTGCGCTGTGTTAAATGGTTTCTTAGTTGCTAGACAGAGAGAAAAAATGGACGACCACACACCATTCTTTGTAGATTATTATATCAAGGGTTCAGTCTCCAGCTCATCAAAGCTAAATGCTGAAAGACCTATCTAGTTGCTGTGAATTACGCCAGGGCGACAATGGAGAGCGTTTTTAATGGTACAATGCATTTCACCTACCAGATAGGGGGGAGGCCGAGCAGGGGATGGGATGTCTGTTGGGGTTGGATGATGAGTATCAATGAACGGGGCGACTCTGAAATGAGGTTGATGAAAAGCGAGCCTGCCCTGCCGGGGCTGGGCTGAGAGCAGTTGGCCGGGCTCTGGCGAGTGGGCGAGCGAGGCGCGCGAGCTGGGCGCCCGTCCCCCCTCAGCCCCGGAAAATGATCAAGTCAATCATGTGGACATGTTTCATTATTCATTGAACACAATCTTTTACAACGCTCGGTTTACGTGCCCGAGTTTGCTCCCGACGCCCGCGTTTAATGTTTTAAGGTAAGGCAAACAAAGGTGGTGGGGAGGCCGGGGTTGGGGGTTGGGGGGCGGCGGGGTGGAGGGGCGCGCGGGTGCCAGGTGGTGGTGGGGGGAGGCCACGATCTCCGGGAGGTGGCAAAGTGAGTTTGGACTCTTGGCGTGGTTCCCCCCTTCCCCTCCCCCTCCCCCGCCAGGCGAGGCCTGCAACCCGGTTGCTTCTCACCCCATCGCGACTAAAAAATATGGTCTAATTAAATATCCGTGGTTGTGACGTTGGCGAGAGAAGCTGTCAGCGGGGGTTAAGGGGAAAAAGAGAGAGGAGAGAGAGAGGGAGGGGAGAAAAAAAAAAAACAGGAGGAGGGAAACCGAGTAGAGGCGGCCACCCGGCATCGAATGGCGCTGGAGAACTTCGGCGGAGAACAGGACCCGCGCCCTGGCCGCCGCCTCCCTACCGCAGCCTCAGTCCCAGGACCGTTACTTTGAAAGGGAGTCCCCAGGACCGAGCGCACCGAGCGCCAGTGGGACCCGGCGCCCATCCGGCCCGGCCCGCGCCTCCCGCCTGCGCCACCCGCTCCAGCTCGCGGCCGGGGGAAACTTTCCATAGGGTCGGGGGCCGGGGGAGCCGAAAGAGAAGGAAGGTTGCGCGGCGGAAACTTCTCCAGCGACTTTATCCGTTTGCTCCAGTGTCGGGGCTTGAGGGGGGGGGAGTCCCCGGCTTCCCCCCCCCACCGCAGTCGTGCATGGTGCGATCTGCCCTCCACCCAGGAGACAGAGGGTAATTGAGAACCATTTTTCTTTTTTTTAAATCAAAGTTAGCTGATGCTTACGGGGTGCCTAACTTGCGGTGTAGAGGGCCGCCAAGACCTGCCATTTTGTGTTTGCATCTGCTTCCCGAGCCCCAAGAGCCGGGCGAGGCCCCGGCCGTGGTGCCTGGGGGGGCGAACCCGGGACCCCGGGACTGTAGAGGCGCTGGCACACACGTGCGCCGCCCGCAGCACCTGCCCCAGTCCGATCCAGGTCCCGGGGGCCTGCAGGGGCCTGAGACACAGAAATAAATAAATAAGTAACAGGTTATGGAGGGAAATGAGCCGGCCAGTCCCGGGCTGGAAATGCGAGGCCAATCAGAGTGAAGGGGTAGGACCGAGTGTGTGTGTGTGTGTGTGTGTGTGTGTGTGTGTGTGTGTGTGTGTGTGTGTGCAGAGGGGGGGTGGCAGCCAGGAGAGGGGTCCACTGGGGAGTCTTGGGAAAAGCAAGACTTGGGTGGGGGTTCATCCTCAGCCCAGCCCACGACTGGAGTAAGAATGAACGTCGCTAATAAGCCTTTCTGTTTGCTTCAAGGCATTTTTTAAAAATTGAAGATGAATTAAGGAAAACAGTCGTAGGCGGGACTCGAGATGCATTTTAGGTAAAAATATAATAATATAAAAATAAAGAAAAGGGTTTCTTTGATGAGTAGAAAGGTCCAGATTTCGACGCTCCCATCTGTTGCAATTTTGCAAACAATTTACAATATAGATTCCGCATACACAGAGGTATGAGAAGTGAGGAAAGGTGGATATAGGCGCTGAAGAAGTTAGAGAGAGAAAGAGAGAGAGAGAGAGAGAGAGAGAGAGAGAGAGAGAGAGAGAGAGAGAGAGAGAGAGAGAGAGAGAGAGAGACCCCTTGTCACCCTCCTCCCTTAAACTCTTCTCTTCGGAGGAAATTCCCGCAAGGTTTCTCTGGGGACAGGTGGAAAGTTAAGTGCCCCCCGCCCCATTTTTCACTCCTGATTTGTGAGTCCTTCTTGCTGTCCGCCTCTTGGTGAGCGCGCACTCAAGTCCCTGAGTTCTCTCCTGGAAGGATGCGGGCATGGAAGGCTGGGGTCGGTGCGGGCAGAAGCCAGGGGCTGGAGCCTGGGAGGAGCAGGGCGGGGTCCCGGCCTGGAGCGCGAGTGGCAGCGGTGGCCGGGTTTTGTTTGCAGGATATTGTTTTGTCTAACGGGTGCCTCGCAGGAGACGTGATTCGTCAGCCGCCTTAGTTTCCACTTGAGCGGAAAATAACGGCGGCTACGTGCAGTCCTGGCCTGCCGGGCTCGAGCGCGCGGTGCGTGTGCAGCCTCGGAGGTGCGCGCGGGTGGGCGGCAGGGGGAAATTCTTTAGGGCTAGCGGGCCCAAGCCGGGCAAGTGCGCTCAGAGCTGGCCTTGGGTTCCTTCTGCGCTTCTCCGGGCAGCCACCGCCACCGCTCTGCAATTTAGCAGAAATCCGACAGGGGCCGCGTTTGCTGAGCGCATCCGGCCGGCGGCAGTGAGAGCCCGGCCGCGGGGCCAGGCCGCTTGTTGTAGACACCGGGAGGGGGCCGGAGGGTGGTGGTGGGGGAGCAGACTGGGAGGGGCTCGGGAAGCGATCTGGGCCTGAGCGAGCACCGCTCCCTGACCCTGCTGTACCGGAGTGTCCTCCGCGAGTTGGGCAGCCAGGCGCTCCCGGGCCTTGGCTTCCCCCCTACAGTCCCTAGGTCTGGGCTTAGGTGAACTTGGGGTGGGGTGTGCGTGCGCATATGTGTGCGTGCCTGTGTATCTGTGCGAAAAGGGAGGCTAGAGTAGAGACACCCTGTTTCTTTCCCAGTTTTTAATAACAGGATTTTGACTTTGAGACCAGCTTCCCTCCCTGCTTGGGCTGGGAGGGGGGGCGATCTTTCCCCATCACTCACATCTTTGTTCATTGTTCACTGAGTGCAAGGCAGGCGACTTAGGGCAAAAAGGAGGGAGAGAAAGAGAGAGGCAGAAGAGGGGGAGGAAGAAGAGAGAAAGAAGAGGGGAGTGTGTGTGTGGGTCACACCCATGTCCCCTCCCGGGTCGTGTGGGAGGGTGAAATAGTAAACCCACCTATGAAGGGTCGCCAGGAAAGTGGACATTACCGCTTTAATTAACTTCGAGATGCTCCGGCGGCGGGACCTGGCGTAGCCGTGACGCGCCCCCATAAATCTGCCGGGCCGGGCTGCTCCAAGAACTCACACAGTAGCAGCGTCAGATCCAACGCGCGCCTCCCCGGCCGGAGTCCATTTGCATAATTGGATCTTTTTTTTTTTCTCCTTCTTTCCTGAAACTTATTTGAAAACCCAAATGAAAACCGCGACGACCTGCACACTCAAAAGCAAGTGCCAAGTAAGTGCCCTGTGGTGGCCTCTGCTCGCCCCGAGGTGAGGGCGCAGAGCCCAGGGGGGTGAGGTGGGGGCGAAACGCCCGGTCCGGCACGGGTGTGAGCCTGCAGCGGGCAGGAGCCTTGCGTCTGCCGGGCTGGTTGTTCATAGAACTTTTGTTTTTGTTTTTTTAAAAAAACTCCCACTACTGTCTCTCGACTTTTCTGGCGAGGTGAGGTGGTTGGGCCAAGCATGTATCTGTGGCGAGACTGAAGAGATCTTGAAGACACAAGTTGAGAGTTAGGCATCCTGGTTCACTGGGAGGGTGGCGAGTCCATGTAGCCGCCGCTGCCGCTGCCGCTGCTGCCGGCTTGGAGAACTGAGTTGCGAGCGAGCGGGGTTGGTTGCCTGTCGCGCCGCGCCGTGGATGCAGTTTGTCGCCAAATGCCTCCCCTATTATTCTAAGGTTTGTGTCTCCGTGTGTGCCTGCGTGAGTGTGCACGCGTGTGTGTTTTGCTGTGCTTTAAAAGGAAGAAAAGCAACCAAAACAGGAGCAGGAAGGCTTCCCTTCTAATCCGCCTTCCCCTTCAGCCTCCTCTATTTCTATTGCTGGAAAAGCAGAGTGAGAGCTGTTTTGCCTGAGACAGGGTCACCACCAACAGATTGAGAATTCGGTTGGAAATGCTATAAATTCTACAGCAGAGATGCAGCTGCGTGCATGACATGCCGGCTCCACCCCGGTCAGGGAAAGTGGCTTGACAATCTCAAATTATTAAAAAAAATATTATTAGTGGTACTATTTACAGTGAGCGGGATGGAGGGGGAAGTGGATTGCTTTGGAGAAGACACCAGCTGTCCTTCCCATTTCTGGGCCTGCCTGGGAACTTGCTGTGGGCAAGGTGTACCACCCTGCATGGCAGGGACCTGGGACTAGGCTTTCAGCTCTGGGAGTCACAGGGGGCACATCCTCCCATAGCCCTTTGGCCTCTGCTCTGAGAGAGCCTGGGGCTTTGGCTGAAGGCTGCTTTAGCTATGATGTCATCCCGATAGTGGTGCAAATGTCTCTTGATCCCACCATTACCCGCCTGGCTGAGTTGCTGGTAATGATAGCACTCTGCCCAGCTCCCTGACAATCACAGGACCCAGAGCCCTAGGAACTAATCACCTCCGCCTGACCGAGGAAGAGTCAGCTACCAAAAGCAGGGCCACTGAGCCCAGATTTTGCACTGGTGGGCCAAACATAGATACTAACTAGGTTGTTGGAGTCCTGAACTGAGGGTTCCCTGATTTTCCAAAGTTTGGAAAACTTTTGGAAGGCTTTGATGTACAGAGCATCCTTAATCTGGGGAAACTGGACTCTGATGGTGAACAGACATCAATGTGTGAATGTGATGGATGGTGAGAACCTCGGGTCTTGCTATAGCCATTGTATGGAAAAAGGAACTATGGCATTCAGTTCATTAACTGTGACTTTATGTTAATATAGCTGCAAGTAAACCGGATTTAGTGTTGATTTTTAAATAGTGTACAATGATTTAAGATTTCTTTTGATTTACTGTTCAGATGAAATTTGCATAAATGTGATGAAAATGAACTTAACATCTGGGCACATGAAAAAAGGTTAGTGCCTCATATGTCATCTGCAGAGAAAGTCTTTAAAATGCTTTCACCCTAAACTGGGTTGGGGAAACAGTTCCTGGAGATATAAATGGTAATTATGTAAAACCTGGAGAGAAAAAAAAAAAAACCGCTTTCAATACATTTGCATTCT